AGACTAAACAACTACCCGAGACTTCAGACACACAATAAACTTCCACCATAAACACTCCTTCTCCTTTAGTCTTAACAATTTTCACACCACAGAGAGTCTTTGTTTATAAATATAACGACATATTCATGAAGAGGTGATTTGCTGGCCAAAGACGCGAACGATCTCTCCTGTGTGGCGTACAGACAATTAATTGGCTGTTAAAATGTACTTAGGAAAACGTCACAGGGGAACTTAAGGTTCCCCGTTGTGCCACGGCTTGTCCCAATAATATAATGTAATATATAATAATATAATAATAATATTATATATAACATAATAATAATATGCTGGCAAGGACAGGGTACACGTGTAGCCTCACCGTAAACCGCTAAGTCAGCGCTCTGAATCGATTGTGGCTACTATGCGTGGCCAATGAAATCAACTGTATCCTCAAAGAGGACACTGTGGAGTACTATCTAGTCGTCATAACCGTGGCTTGTTGAATGTCCTAATTTCTCATCTAAACGGGGTTGCCCATGACAGCGTGTCCCAATACCTGATATCTGTTTTACCTGACTGCTCGTTCTCACACCGTCCACCAAATAAAGTCCTGCGACGTGCGATCCCGTAGGTGCTTCCGGCAAACTCAGATCGCCTTCGCACTGTGATGTGGACGTTACCTCCTAGTGACAAGACAGGACTGATTATGGTACCCCGTACGCTCTACGACAGCTTACTGCTAGGCCGATTCTAAGTCAAGGTCTTTCCATTGTCAACCAACAACGAGGCGTCAGGCAGCTTACAACATGCTTTTTTGAACTCCAAAAAATGAAGGGGCTCTAGTGTTTGCCCGAAAACGTTCCGAAGTATTTTAAGATGGAATGGGCATCCCAGTGTCCGTACTGCCGCGTGGCCAAATTATTCCTAATTAAGCACCGTGCGCCTGTTGGCCTATACTTAGAACGGCGTTCATAAAGAAAAACGGTCCCCGAAGGAAGGACAATACAGCAAAAACTGCCTGATATTTATTACAGTCGGTGTGGTTATGTGAGAGCAAAACACAGTCAATTAATTAATGTACGTGCTCTGACAAACACATTCTACATGATTCGGGCGCTTGGAAAGCATAAAATACTGTTCTGTGAAGGAAGAAGTAGGTTTGCAGAAGGTCGGCTATTCTTTGCATCCTTGCAGTGTGGCAACAATCTTGCGGGAGGCTGAAATGTAGGGTAATGTAGAAAAACATCAGTGTACCATACAAATACCAAGTAGGAGACTACATGAATAGAAAGAGGGGTAATTTGCCCTAACCATGGCAGATAGAATGATCACAAAATATAGTCCCTAACAAATAGAGGAAAGTTTGAAAGCAGTAAGATGCTGAAAAGGCGTAAACAAGCCTTGGTTTCATTTTTTACTATTTAAGTCCCACATGACCCTTAAAATAGGCCTGGTAGAACCGAATAATATTCACAGATGCACTTTCG